GTAAGACAGTGCTCTGGAGTCTGACCCACAACATTGCTGCTGCTTGCTTCTGAACTTCTTCCTTTCTCCATACACTGCTCAGACTCTCCCTACTCTGCACAGGTCTCCCTTTCAGTATGCACTGGATCTATGACTTGGAATTGGGTAGTGGGAGACAAAGCTGCCAATTTGTACCTGTCCCCATTGAGATTCCCCTCATAGGTCTAAGATCTCCTGTTTTGCTGATGTACACCTCTCCTTGGGCATGGGAGTGCTCAGTGAGGTCTGACCAAGATAAGGAGAGTTAATTCAAGTAATGTCCTTCAAGAGACTGAACTTTTAAAAAAAAAAGTCTGAAATTTGGAAGAAGGGGAGCACTCTGAATCTCCCCAAGATATTAGTTATTAATAACCACTTCTCTCACAGCTAGCTAAAAGGCTCAGCAGATTCAGAGTGACTCCTTACCTCTTTGAGTCTGGGGGGACTAAGTCTGAGATCTACTTTGGTATAAATCCAAGACAGCAAAGGTAATATGGGCAGATAATTTTTGCTGTATAAAAGATCTAGAGTTTTCTGGAGGACTTCAAGGTAAACAGAAATCAACAGTACAACATAACCAAACAAAGTTGATCTCAAGTTATAATAAGAAAAGGATATGTACACCAAATGGGAGAAGTTTTATTTCTAGTGTACTGTTCCTGGTCAGACCACATTTGAGCACTTTGTTCAGTTGTCGAAGCATATTAGGAAAAATATTGAAAATATAGTTTCGATACAGAGGAGGATCAACCAATCAGGCAACAAGCATTTATTAAGCACCTATTATGTGCCAGGCACTGTGCAAAGCACTGAGAATACAAATACAAGGACACCAAGGTCGTGAACGTGTGGTGGCACTAGAAGAATGGTAGTGCTTTTGATAGAAATAAGGAAATTCATAAGAAGGGTGAGTTTGGTGGGAAGTACAATGAGTTCTGTTCCTTCGTGGCACCTCACCTATGATATTCTCACAATGGGATTTTAGCTGGAAGTTGAAGGAAGCAAGGGATGCCAGGAGACAGAGATGATAAGGAAAAGAATTCCAGGCATAGGGAGAGCCAGTGACAATGCCTATGGTTGGGAGACACATGTTTTGTGCAAGGAACAACAAAGAAGCTAGTGTCATTGTATCACAGAGTATATATGGGGAGTAAGCGATAAAGAGGATGAAAAAGTAGGAGTGGGTCAGGTTGTAAAGAACTTTAAAAACCAAATAAGGGATTTTATATTTAATCCTGGAGATGACAGGGAGACACTGGAGTTTATTGAGCTGATGTTGGGGAGAGGTGACATGGTCAGACCTGCACTTTAGAAAGATCAATTTGACAGCTGCGCAGAGGAAGGACTAGAGTAGGGAGAGACTTGAGGCAGGGAGACCAACCAGAAAGCTACATTAAGAAAATGTCTGGGCATGAAGTGATAAGGGCGAGCACTAGGGTGGTGCTACAATAGTGGATCCATGCCAGTACAATGTCAGAGAACAGAAGGGAGAATAGATGATAGATGTTATGAAGGTAAAATTGGCAGGACTTCACAACAGATTACATAATTGCAGGTGAGAGAGTAAGGAGTCAAGTAAGATCCCCTATGTGTGAGCCTGAGTGAATGGAAGGATGATGATGGTGCTATTGATAGTAATATGAAAATCTGGAAGAGGGGAGGACTTTGGGGGAAAGATAACAAATTAAGTTTTGGATAAGCTTAGTTTAAGATGTCTATAGGACATATGGTTTGAGAAAAACAACTGAGATTTGAGACAGGAGATTGAGAGAGAGGGTAGGGCTGGATAAGTAGATCTGGGAATCATCTGCATAGAGATAATTAAACAAATGGGTATGCATGAGATCACCAGGTGATGTAGTATACAGAGAGAAGAAAAGAGGGTGCTGGATAGAGGCTTAAGGGGAACTTACAGTTAGTGGATGAAGATCTATCAAAGGAGAATGAAGACGAATAGTCAGACAGGTAGGAGGGAAACCAGGAGAGAGCAATGATATGAAAACCTAGAGATAAGAAAGTATGAAGGAGAAGAGGGTGTTCAAAGGATCAGAGGCTACCATGAGGTCTAAGAGACTGAAAATTGATAAAATCTTCATTAGATTTGGTAAAAGAAATGAAAGCACTGATTATAAACTCTTCAAGGGGATCAGCCACAAAAGGAAAAAGAGATATGGGATGATAGATAGTAGAGATGGATGGATCAAGTGAGGGTTTTTTGAGGAAGGAGATGCAGGCATATTTGTAGGAAGTAGGTAAGCAATCAGTAGACAGAGAGAGACTAAAGATTAGTGAGGATGATTGAGGGACAATCTGAAAAAGAAGATGGGACAGAATGGGATTATTTGTTACATAGCAGGATTAGGAGAAGGGCTACCTCTTCATGTAAGACAGGGATAAAGGAGGAGATAGTGGTGGAAAACTGAGTGATGTTAGATGAGGGGGAGGAAATAATAATATAAAGAGGTTTGTAGAATGGCCTTAATTTTTTCAGTGAAATATTAGGTAATATTTTCAGCTGAGAAGATTGGAGGAAAGGGGGAGCCATGGAAGGTTTGAAGAAGGATGAAAAAGTCTGGAAAAGGCACTGGGGCGCATAGGATAATGAATCTATTAAGGAGGTATAAAAGGATTGTTTTGCCACAGTGAGGGCCCATTTGTAATTATGTAAACAAGTTTGTAATAGAGCCAATGACACAGTTTCATGATTTTCTCCAGCTTTGTTCAGTAGCACATGAGTAGGAATGAAGGCAATTTTATTTTTAAAAATTAATTCTGTGAGACACTATTCTGGCCATAGTCAATAAGGGATTTGTTTTGCTTGAATATGCATATTTGCTACAAAGGTTTTTTTCTTTTTTTCTTTTTCCCAGCAGAGGAAGAAAAAAATAATAGGAATAATGCAAGGTGAGGCTTGGCAGGGCAAGACCAGTGATAGGATGAGGGGACAAGGGATTTCAGAGAAGAGAACAGTGTATAGTTGAACTACGGCTCATCAAGGGGTGAAGTGGTGTATATCCTGTGCAGGGGTGATGGCCTGGAAAAGAACTGAGGGATGAGAAATCATAGTAAGGACAAAGAACAGGATTTAGGGTTGCAAGGCAAAGAGAGAGGCAGAATGATTAAGAAAATTTTAGAGTTCAAAACATAGAGGCAGAACACTTGTGAGTGATAGAAAGATCCAGGTTATTACTATCTTTGTATACATCTGTGGTAGGGTGGTGAAAATATGCCACAAAAGGTTTAGTTGAACAAAATACATATGCTTAGCCTACTAATTTTCATTATCTTAGATTAGCTGTCTTCAAGTGTTTGAAGGGCTGTCATGTGGAAGAAGGATTAAATTCCCTCTACTTGGCAGAATCAAGAAAATAATACACACAATGACAACAATAATAATAATAGCTAGCATTTATATAGCATTTTAAAGTTTGTCCATATGATTCTCACAACAACCCAGAAAATTGTGCTATCATTATCCCCATTTTACAGATGATGAAACAGAGCCACAAAGAAATTAGGTGACTTGCCCAGGGTAATATACTTAATAAGTGTCTGAGATAGGATTCATACTCAGGTTTTCCTCATTTCAAGTACTACTTTCCATGCTTGCTGCCTCAACAATGTAAATGAAAAGAACCCCTACAAGATGATCGAAAATGCATATTGCAAAATTGCAAGGAATAAGTTTGACTCCAAAGAAGAGATATGAGAAAACATTTTCCTTTATTCCTTTGTAGAGGGGGTGAGTCCTTGTGTGTATAATATTTCATATATTGTCAGTTTTTTTTGATATACTGATTGGTTTTGTGGATTTCTTTTCTCTTTTTTCTTTTCTTTCTTTTTTTTTTTTAAAGTTACTTGCTATAAGGAATGGCTTTCTGGGAGGGGAGGGAGATGGAATACAAGGGGAAATTTAAATGATTAAAAAAAACAGAAGATATCAACAAAAATTTATTTTAAAAAATTCATTCTGTGAGACACAATTCTGGCCATGGTCAATATGAGATTTGTTTTGCTCAAATATGCGTATTTGTTACAAAGGTTTTTCTTCCCCTTTTTTCTTTTTCTCAGCACAGGAAGAAAAAATAAAATGCTTGCTGATTGGGAAAAAAAATAAGTTAAAATTAATTCTCCTTGACCTCACAGGGCAAAAGTAGGAGCAGTAAATAGAAGTTGATAGGAAAACTTCTTAATATTAGAGCTATCCAGAAGTGAAACAGAATTTTTTGGGAAACAGAGTTCCTTCTTGCTAGGTACCTTCCAGTGAACACTGGATTATCACTTGCTGGAGAAGACATGGAGGGAATTCCTGTTTAAGTTTAGTTTGGACCAGATGACTTCAGAAGTCCCTTCCAAGATTTTGGAAGTAAAAAAACTGCCCCAATCCACAATACACATATTATTTTAGATGTTTTCTAATGGAAGTCTCATAAAACCAAAAATATAAAAAATTATACCGAGATCTTTATATGGATCAACTGATGAATTAAACAGGCTTTTGTTGAGAAATAAAAGCTTCTCAAAATTTTAAGCTATATCAGTGACATCTTCTCAACAGTACAAAGGCATGACTATGACAAAGGGATCTCTGTTTGCTAATAATTGACATAATACAATTACCCATTTCATAAACCACAGACTGTGTGAGAAATAACTTTGACCAAAGGATTAGCTTCATAAATAACTTTTTTATATGCATCTAAATAATGTGACAAAAAGAGAAAGGCAAAACCCTAAAATGATCTTTTATATTTGCCTAGGCAGTAACAGCTAAAAATAAACTACTTCTTAGTTTGGGCTATTAGCAGTACAATTTAGAGGGATTAGCTTTATTTTCATCCTTAGGATGGAAGCAACATTTTATAATGCCTTTATGATAAAAAGATGAAACAGTTGTGTGATTCTTATAACTACCTCACCAAAAATAAATTATTATTTTTTAATTTTTTGTAGATTCAACACATACAGTTTAATATCCTTACCTGAACTGTCCGTCCTGCATGGATATGCTCTTCGTGCAACCGGTCCCAGAGTCTGCATCGCTGATACTACACAAAGAAAAAAAATACCAAAAAAATGCAATTTTTCATCCTTAGGATTCAAGAAATTCCTTCAGGTTCTGAAATTTTCAGTAATAATGTCCTTCTTTAAGATGATTTTTTTTCTCTAGGGTATGGCTTTAGACCTTTGCTATAAGAGAACTATGCTTGGGCCTGAGATCCTATACGCTATTTCAGAAGCAAATTAAGTTATTTCTCCAATTTATTACAACTACTAGTAGTACTCTAGGGACAGTACACATTTCTCGAGAAGCAGAGAAGGGAAGTGGAAGCTACAGGCCACAATTGAGATCTACAGGCCTTGCTTGAGATCTGTGTGAGCTTTGAGGAAGGGAGATAGAGCAAAGGAGTTAACTTGGAGATGACAAGATCACAAATTCAGAGCTAAAAGAAACCTTAAACTCATCTAATCCCACACCCTCACTTTGCAGATGAGAAAACTAAGGTGCTCAGAGATACAGGTAAAGTTACAAAACAAACTAGTGAAGTGTAACTGTCCTGAATGAAGTCTTTGTCAATCCCACTTGATTCTCATGCTTTTTCTCTGTTGATTTTTTCAATGCATCCAATATTTAGCATGTTTGTACATAGTTGATTATATGTCATTTCCCCAAATGGACTGTGAGCTCCTCGAGTGCTAAGACTATCTTATACCTTTCTTTGTATCTCCAATGCTTAGTAGCACAGTGCCCAGTACTACACTAAGTGAGCTTTTAATAAATGTTTATAGCCTGACTACCAGTCAGTCAAGGTATTGTTCCACTGTGATTAAGTAAGTTCTTCAACAGTCTTTCTGTGACACATACATAAGACATAAACTGCTGCACAATGGAGAAAAACCATACACTATTAGTGAGCTGCAGGAATCATTTATCTGTTCTCATCGTTAAGAGTCTAGACACAGGAAGTTACCAACTTACAAAGGTTTTGTGTTCCAAAAGTTCAAGTTTAGAACTTAGAATAATTTTTCCCCAAGAAAAAAATTCTGAATGATGCTTAGGTTCCAGGTTAGTCCACAAAAGCTTATTTAATCCACAATGTTGCTGAAATAGCACATATTTACAATGGAAATAGCAAACATCATTGTAATATTAGTAAATGAACAAAACAAAAAAATAAATTAAGTGGAACAAGAAACAATGTCGGTACTTGCTCCTGAAATGATGGAGAAAGTCAGGAAATCATGTAGAACTTGTCCAATATAGAGTTATGCTGCCAAAATTCATCTGGGCCTTATTAGTCAGGGGCCTTTTTCATAACAGGTACAGATTCACTATCTAATGCATCTCGGTGCCAATATCAAGCCCCAGCAACTACCTCTAACAAGTACTTTTTTGTAGAGTTTATGTACTTTATTTTGTTTTAATTTTTTTATTCTAAGTTCAAACACCAAAAAAGTACATTTTGCATATTCACAGTCAGAAATACAAAAAGGATTGTATATAGGAAATTGTCCATCTCTATTTCACACTGCTTATATTATTTTTTTTGAAGTACACAGGAAATTCCATACACTACTTTCAAAACTGTCCCCCTTCTACTCTGATCAATACAATGATCCAAGACAATTCCAAAGGACCCATGATGAAAAATGCTGTGCACCCCCAGAGAGAGAACTGATGAACTCTGAGTGTAAAGTGAAGTGTACTTTTTTTTACTTTATTTTTCTTTATTTTTTAACATGGCTAACATGGAAATATGTTTTACATGATTTCATATGTATAACTGATATATTGCTCTCCTTCTCAGTGGATGGGGGAGGGGTTGGAAGGAGACAGAATTTGGAACTCAAAATTTAAAAGGTTAAAAATAAGTATTTTTTAAAAGATTTAAAAGATTAAAAAAAAGAAAACAGAACTTTATTCTGTTCTCCTCTGTGCATTTTTAAGTGTTCCAATGGCCCACTTTTTGGAAGGCAGCACTATTGCTAAGCCCTCTTACCCCTTACTTCCCCAACTGATTGAGAAAGGGAAAAAAAACAAAAACTTATACAAATAACATAATCAAGAAAGTCTAGTTCTTGAGTTAACGTATTTCTATATTAAATTGTGTGTTTGTACATACGTGTACATATATATGTATGTTTAAATGTTTTAAGTAAAAATGAGGTTCACTTGATACTTGATACTCCAAATCTTCCTCCATGTTTTATACACTCTCTTTTTGGATAGCTCTGGTTACTAGAAAGTTTTTTCTTACATTAAACCAAATTGTGCCTCCCTTCCAACAATCAGTCTCAGTTCTCCTTTTCTTTCTGTAGCAATCCCTCTCCTCCTGTGTGTGTCTGTGCTGCATGCACATGTGTGTGTGTATGTATGTGATATACATATATAATGTCTAATGTATATATGTCATATATATATGTGTGTATGTATATCATGTCTAATCTCTTTTTTACCTGTTAGCTCTTCAAATATCCAAAGATAGCATTTTGCCATTTTGTTGTTTACACTTTCTTTTTCGGTCAAACCTAAGTTCATTCTGGGCTTCAGGCCTCCTTGACCTTATTCTTATAGGCTATACTAGTTTGTTTGTTTTTAAATTTTTATTGTTGGTTATATGTACCTGCTTCCATCTTTTGAACATGTCCTTTTAAAATCCAAGCTTATCATAGATCTCCCACTGCAACAACATGGGTCTTTTAAGAATATCTCCTTTTCTTACTGAGACAATATTTTTATTGTGTCGTCAGAATTTCACTTGAAAACCTACCATTTTCCTCAATCATCTTTCTTTTTGGCATCTCAGCCTATGATATTATACCTATCTTTTCTCTGAACTGTCTGAAATCAGCTTGTCTAAAGTATGCCTATTTATTCATTCTCCTCCTCAGCTATTACTAACTAAAACATGGCACAGTCATATTTCTCTAAGGCTCCAACTGTTTCCACTTCACCAACCTATTCTTTCTTTACTGTTGGTTAAAATTAGGTCCAAACAGATCCCCTTATTCTTTCTTTTACTTTTTGAAAGACAAAATTGTCTGCTGAAAAGAAATTATCTCATAAATTCTTGCCTGGATAAGTTAATTTTAATATACATTATGGTATGTAATATAAGCTAATGGTGATGATCCTATGACAGAGAGCTCCAGGTGTTCACAGTACATTGCTTTCACTGTTTTCTACAGATATAGGGTGATTTAATTAAAGCTTTCCTCCAATTTATTCTGTATTTTTTTTTAGAATAAAATCAGGTGGCTGATGTTCAATATAATAAATATTTTATCTTTCAACACTTGGCTTTCTCCAACAATGTGTTCTTTTGAAAGTAAGTCATTGTCTGATTTCTAGGGTCCTCAATATTTTCTCTTTGCCCACAGTGAACTGTACTCTAGTTAAACTTCTTTATGCATATACGTATACATACACACACATATAAAACATACCTTTAAAATGTGCTGCTTAATTCTGTACAGATGGAAAGTCATAATCCATTAAATAATTAAACAATTATCTGAAGACCTATTATGTATAAGGCGCTGTATTAGATGAAGACCAGAAACCATCTCTGGAAAAAGACCAAATGACCAGGGACATGAAGTAAATTGCAGTCAAGTATTATATGCTAGCATTGAAACTAAGTGCTTACTTTGAAACTATACATATACAGTGCATATGCTATATTATTTGGAGACTTTCTGTAATTTCACAAATACTGGAACATAATAATAAAGCAAAGTAAACTTCCTACAAAAGACTGAAAGATTTAGCTCAAAAGGAATTGAAAGAATGAGGAACTGAGGGACTATAAGAGGGAAAGACATTAAGAAGGAAAATAGCATTAAATATAAGGGGAAAGAAAGGGAGAAAGGCTATCCTTCTTGTTCAGTCTGCTTTCCACAACACCTCCTGAGGTTTCTTTCCCTAGTCCTTTGCCTTACACCTAGTATTCTCCCCAATTACATTCCCCAAAATGAACCTCTCTTCATTCCTTCCTCTGAAGCAGCTGAGGTCCCCCTCCCCCGCTGCCAGAAAATATCTCCTGAATAGTTTATGACTTCTGTTCCCTACAACCCCTAGTTTGTCATTTGTGGGCAAATGTCTCCAAAAACTGAAGAGTTAATTTGTGGCATATATAGCATTATTTAGCAAACAACCGGAGGTGGGGGGGAGAAGAGAATGAGGGGAAAGGTAGAAAAGAGAGTCAAACACACATCAGCTGTGTACTAGGGAAGACAGAGATCCTTTATCTGCCTACGAAAGAAAATGATTTTAAGTCAAAATGATAGGGAAAGGGACATAACTATGGCTAGGCAATAACGCTACTGCCAGAGACACTGTAGTGAGGGCTGTATCAGGAAATACAAACACAGGCTCCAGAGTCCAAGGTCAAAAAGAGAAGTAGATCTCTTTTGACAGGGCAAGATGGGAGAAGTCAGAACAGGAGAAACCAATGCAAGCTATGGATATTACAGCCAGGTCAGAAAGTCAAATCAAGGTATAAGGTAACAGAATGCTTGGGAAGGTCTAGGCCAGAGGTGGGGAACCTGTGGCCTCAAGGCCACATGTGGCCTTCTAGGTCCTTGAGTGTAGCCTTTTGACTGAGTCTAAGTTTTACAGAACAAATCCTTTCATTAAGGGGATTTGTTCTGTGAAGTTTGCATTCTGTCAAAGGGCTACACTTGAGGCCCTAGAAGGCCACATGTGGCCTCGAGGCCACAGACAGATTCTCCACCCCTGGACTCTAGGCAATCTGTCTGAACAAGATTTGTTTTGTTTCTTCCTCTTCTTTTAAAGGGGTGGTATGCTTCTAGGCCACATGCAGCAGGAATTTTAGGGATCTTTACTTGGTCTGTATGGGGCCTGATGGCTCTACCTTTTTTCAGGTTTCTGCCTCAAGATCTCATCCTCCATTTCATCCCCACTTTCCTGCTGCTCAACCACTGGCCACCCAGTATAATCAATGTCCCACCTGATATCCCCTCCAATCATGAAGTTCCTTATCTACCCAGTCTCTGGCCAGTTTGGACTCCATGACATTACTACTATTGCCAGTTCCTTCATTTTGCTATCACTATCAATTATTCTCCCTCCATCCCCAAAGTCACCTCTAGGCAATATGTCTCAGACCTCTTTTTCTTCTCTAAAATGCTGCTTCAGAATGAAATGATGAGATTAAGATATCCTTTTGTAACAATGAAAATAAATTTATTAATTATCAACAATCAATTAAATTTATGTATTATCTACTACGTACCATGAACTATGCCAGGTGCTGGGGATAGAAAGACAAAAACAAAACATCCTATATATCCCTGGGGAGGAGAAATGCAATATTTGCACAGACAAATATATAAGACGAACACACAGAATAAATACAAAGCATTTTTTTTTTAGGCCATTGGGGTTAAGTGACTTGCCCAGGGTCACACAGGTAGTAAGTATGAAGTGTTTGGTCTGAGGCTAGATTTGAACTCAGGTCCTCCTGACTTGAAGGCCAGTGCTGTACCCACTGCACCATCTAGCTGCCCCAAAATACAAAGAATTTCTAGAGGATGGAGAGAGCACTGACAACTTGGGAAATCAGAAAAGGTCTCTTGTAGGAGGTAACAACTGATTTTAAATGTATATACAGTTTTATTTATCATCTTTCCTGAAGAAAAAGGGGTTGCTAACTATTAGACTCTCAAGTCTAAAAACTTGCTGAGACACAGAAAAAATTAAGCCTAGAGCTGAATTCAGACAACAAGATGGCTGTTCCTTACCACTGCAGTACAAGAAAATGTATAAACGTTATGTTTGGATAGGTTCTGTATTTTAATTACTAATAGTCTAATAAATCAATATGGACTAATAAAAAATCTACAGTCTATGTCCCTATATCCTTTCCTAAAGAAATACTCTATGAGTGACATATTTGCAGAGCAGAAAAACCAACAGACAAAATAAACCCCATTGTTAAATCAACAAGAGCCAGGTGTTTTAGCAAAGCATCTCATCTAATATTTCAAATTTAGTTAAAATCCACAATAAATATTAAGTAAACCTATGTAACTGTTTCCTCATGACAGAAAATGAAGGGGCTCACCTTCTCAATATTTATCTGATGTTTTCTCAACCTTTCCAGGTCTGTTGGGATTACCACTTTAATGAATTTCTGGATAGCTGGCTCAACACGGCGCAATTTCACTCTTTCTTCATCTTCAGACATCATAAAGTGGAAGTGTGTCACCACTTGCCCAAACTGCTTTCTCCACTTACATGGGAAAACCTAAAAATAAATATTTATTTAAGCACATTTGCTAATCAATTTCCATGACTTAATTTAAAAAAAAAAAACCAACCTACTTTATAATGCTCTAAATAAAGTATAAGGCATTTATTGAAAATGTAATACTGAATGTAAATAAAACTCAAAGTGAAAATCTACCCCTTAAGACTTCTGAGGAACAATATTTTGTACCAAACATAGAAAACAAAATGTTTCGCTTTCTGACAATAACAAGGCAATTATGTAACTATATGCTGAAAAATACTTTAGAACTTACATGTAGTTAAAAGTTTCCAAAAATGAAATTCCTGTTAAGATTTCTATAACAATTTTGTGGTGGTTCTCTTCATCTACAATGCAACTATTTGCATTAACATTCACTAACATTTCACTCACATTTATAAACAGATACTTTTCTAGCTTTCTCATGCAAAGTTGTACATGTTCTATAAATAGTATATAAACGTACAGACAAAATTTTATGTTATTAAACAAAGGTTATTATTCATTCATTAAACAAGTATTTATTAACTACTATATACATGCTAACCACTTAGTTCCTTCACCTATTCACATCCCATCACCTATTCACATCCCATTACCTACTCCTCTACCCCAGCCACACTCAATGAGGGTCATATCCTTGACCTTACCATCACCCACAAACATACCACCTACAAGTTCAAAAATTCTAGAATCTCCTTAATGACCATAATCTATTGGCTTTTCACCTCTCCTTCTGCCTTCCCTTACTCTTTGTATATATCATGACATCTAATTCCTTGATCCCTCAGTTATTTCCCCAGTCACGACCCCCGCATTAGCCACTCTCTCCTCTTTTCCTCATTTTGACCAGTTCAAATCTACACTCTCCTCTTCCTTTGAGTCTCTAGATCCTTTACCATATTGCTGATCGCACTCTGCCAAGCCCGAGCCTGGATCATTCCTACCATTCACTGTTTTAACTTTTACAAATGCTGTCGAACTAAGGTGGAAAAAAACATGCAACCAGTACGATTCAGTCCATAACAAATTTATGTTACACAGTCTCACTTGGGTCCTCACTGCTGCTAAGCAATCCTACTATACTTCCCTCATCAACTCACTATCCCACTCTCCACAAAGGCTCTTCCAAAACTTTTCATCCCTATCAAACCTCCAATGGCTCCCCCTGTCCCCACCGTGTCAGCCAAGAATCTTGCCTCATATCTCACAAATAAAAATTGAGGGCATTTGCCATGAGCTCTCTCTTCTCCACTCTTCCTCATTTCGTATCACTCATATGCCTTCTGCCATTATTTGCTCCTTCTCACATAAAGAAGTGGCATTGTAACTTACCAAGGCTAACCCCTCTACCTGCAAAAGAGAACCCATTCCACCCTTTCTCCTCCAACACATTGCCCCCCTCTGTCATCCCCATACTTTCACTTATTTTCAATCTCTCCCTCTCTACTGGCTCCTTCACTACTTCCTACAAACATGCCCATGACTCCTCTATCCTGAAAAAACCCTCACTTGATCTTTCTATTGCCAATAACTATTGTTTTATATATCGTCTACCCTTTGTGGCTAAACTTGAAGAGGTTATCTACAACAGGTGCCTCCGCTTTCCTCTCACTCTCTTCTTTAAGTCCTTACAATTTGGCTACTGACCTCATCATTTCACCAACATTTTTTTCCCTCTCCAAAGTTGGCAATGGTCTCTTAATCGCCAAAAGCAACAACAACCCAAACAAACCCAACCAATGGCTTTTTCTCAATCCTCATTCTCCTTGACCTCTCTTCAGCTTTTGACACTACTAATTATCCTTTTCTCTTTGATGATATTTTCTCTCTAGGTTTTCAGTCACCACTCTCTCCTGGCTCACCTCCTACCTCTCTGACTGCTTCTTCTCAGTCTCTTCTGCTAGATCATCATCCACATGTGTCAAGTCATGTCCTCTAACTGTAGGTGTTCCTCAGAGCTCTGTCCTGGGCCCTCATCATCTTCTCCTTCTATACTACTTAACTTGGTGATTTCATTAGCTCCTATGGTTTGAATTATCATCTCTGCTGATGATTCGCAAATATACCTATCCTGCCCTAACGTTTTTTATCTCTAGTGTCACATCTTGAACTGCCTTTTAGACATCTCAAACTGGATATCCAGTAAACATCTTAAATTCAACATATTCAAAACTGAATATATTATCATCCCCCCCCAAACCCTTCCTATTACTATCGAGGGCAATGCCATCTTCCCAGTTTCCCAGGCTCACAATCTAGGTATTTGCCTTGACTCATCACTATCTCTCAAGCCCCATCTTCCCCTCCCCATCTAATCTGCTGCCAAAGCCTATCACTATTCACTTTTGTAACATCTCTTAAATACACTCCTCTTTTCTGAAGCTGCCACCACTGTAGCCAGACCCTTATCACCTTGCACCTTAACTATTTCAAGAGCTTGTTAGTGTGTCTGCCTGCCTCAAGTCTTTCTGGATGCCAATCCATCCTCCATTCAGCCACTAAAGTGATTTTCCTCAAGTTCAGGTCTGAACACATCACCCCCTTACTCAATAAATTCCAGTGGCTCCACACTACACCTTACTTCCTGCCATTTATCCTTCAATCCATTGACACCAGCCTCCTGGCTGTTCCACAAACAAGACACTCCACCTCTTAGCTCCAGGCATTCTTTCTGGCTGTCCCCCATTCCTGGAATGTTCTACCTTCTTACCTCTGTTGATTGGCTTCCCTGGCTCCCTTTAAGACCCAACTTAAAGTCCCATCTTCTATAGGAAGCCTTTCCCATCCCCTCTTAATTTTAATGCCTTCCCTCTTCTAATTATTTCCTAATTATCCTGTATATAGCTTGCTTGTACATATTTGGTTTTTGTTGGTTGTCTTCTGCATTAAATCAAGAGTTCCTTGAAGGCAAGGACTGTCTTCTTCCTCTTTTCGTATCTCCCGCACTTAGTAGAATACTGTAAGCCTTAGTAAATGCTTACTAAATTATTGACTAGCTACTATGCTTAAACACTTCAAAGATCTGTGACTTCATCGATATGAGTATGACCTTCACTGATTCAGAATGTAATCCTTCTGTGATGTGGTAATTGGTCTTTGACAATCAGAATCATAGATTTAAAGCTGAAAAGGATCACAGAGGACACAGAAAAGTTGAGGTCCATGTAAGTGATATAACTTGTCCAGTTTCAAAAAGCAATGTCAGACAAGACTTGAACTCATATCTTTCTGACTCAAGGTCATATTTTCTGTCCAGCTTTGTTTTAATTGTGGTTGAAAATCTTGTCATCCTATAGTTAGACTAATGATGAATCTCTATAAAAACTGTATCTAAGTAGTGGGGTTTAGCTTCCAGGTGCTCTCTTAGTTAATATCTAGGTCAGGCCTGAACAACCCGAGGCCTTTGGGACCCTTACAGCCCTTGGGCCACTTGTGCTGCCAAAGGATTTCAGGTAGCCTGTGAAAAATGTACAGGAAAACATCCTTTGCATGTGGAGGAAATCCTTTGGCGTGCTGCCACATGAGTGGCCTGCAGTGGTTATGCAGGCCTGATCTAGATGATCCCAAACTCACCATATTTGGAGCATGGCAGGGTTAGTAAAATATGGGAATTTGTGGGTGCAAAGTTTATTAAATAACTCCTCCCCATTTCTCTAGATAACTGTCATGTAGAAGAGGGATTTGATTTGTTCTACTTGGGCCTAGTGAGCAAAGTAGGACCAATGGGTAGAAATTGCAAAGAGACAAATTTTAGGTTTGATAAGAAAAAAATTCCTAACAATTAGAGCTATCCAAAAGTATAATTTGTTGGCTCAGGAGGTTATGATTCCTCCTTCTCTAGCAATCCTTAACCAAAGGCTAGATGCCTATTTGTTCAGTACACTGTAGAGTGGACTCCTAAGTACCAGTTAGACTAAGACCTCCAGGATTCCTTCTAACTCTGAGACTGTACTTTAAGACTCAATGAATTTAGAAAGCCTGAAGCCAGATCTCCAGTCCATCATTAGGGCTACACTTTGAAGCCTGACAATATATGCTACAGCATGCACCGTGCTGGAACTGACATTGAGAACCCAGAATCTTCTGTATAGCCCAATAAAGCACTGAGGGACTTTATCAAAGGACCACTACGTTTTGCACATAAAAATGAGTCCTAAGGCAGCAAGTCAAATGCCTGTTTGGAAAATTAGAGATACAGTCATCAAGAAAGTGCTAAGACATCAAGTTGACAGCTTGAAAAACTGAAGGTGTAGCAATCAAAAAGAATTACTATTACAATGTCTAAACAATCATTGTTCTAGGTGCTATGGGAGAACACTGAGAAGTTTTAAGACCTGCTGGTTACAATCTTGCTGAGGAAATAGGCTGAAGTCTTATTACAACAACTTCATGTTGTTTAGTATCAACTAGGCTCTGATTGCTGCTGGGAAATTCATTCATTAATCTTTAGATGTTTCCTTATCATATTCCCCACAAAAGCTGCAATGAAACCCCATCCTTACATTTAGTTGCAAAATAATTATTAATCCTTTTTTAAGGCTAACTTCTCCATCTAATTTCCATCTTTTTCTGAATGCTTAGTAACTCATTTCATTAAAGAGGAAACCAATACCTAGTAGAGGTGAAATCACTTGCTCATAGTGACACAAGTAATAAAGTAGTAAAGGTGGGATTTGAACTCGAGTCTTCTGGCTCTAAAATCATTGTTCTTTCCACAACATCTTGCGGACCCTTTGCTCCCACATTTATTCCTTCTTTCTCTAAACTCTAAAATTTCTTTGGTGGCTCATCCCTTTTCCTTAAGACATGCACAGTATTATACACAGATTTGAATCCTGGCTTAGCTACTGACTCCCTGTGCAGCCCTGAACATATCACTTTACCAGTACAGGCCTGTCTCCTTGTATGTAAAATGAAGGTGTGGACTAAGTGATCTCTAAGATTTTTTCCAACTCTAAACTCTCTTATCCTACGAGGTTCCCTCCCACCTTATA